AAAAAAAAACAAAAAAAGCAATTAAAAAATTCTAATTATTATCATTAACGATTCTCATCTAATTATAGATAACAAATTTATGTATTATTTAATTTTAAATGATAAGGCGAATTAATATTTTTTAATAATATTTTTCTGACGAGAAATTTTTTTTTTCCTATAAATTTGAATTATCGATTCCGCAAGCAATAATAATTGTTGCTATTATTCGATATGTAATATTACTATTATAGATGCTATTTGTATGGGTATTATTTTGGTAACTGATAACCACGATAAATTTATCCTGATATTTTTTGATAGAATTGATAGAAATACCAAAGTTAACCATCTCTGTCACAGAAAATTTACAAGAATCTCATTTAATCTTTCAATCATTTCATCAATAATTTATTCGAAGTGTCAAATTTCAAATAATGTTCAAATAGTTTCGTTTAGAAATTTCATTCAAATTAATGTCAACCATTAAAATTCGTTCCTTCCCATTATGTTCAGCATTATTTTGCATCATTAACAATTAAAGGTAAAGAGATGAAAAAAAAAAAAGATTGGAAAATGATAGAGTGTAAAAAGATTTCAATCTTTGAGAAATGGATGGCTTAAGCGCAAAAAGAGAGAAAAAAGAAAGAATGGGTGGTTTAGGCGTAAAAGAAGAGGAGGAAATGGGGAGGACTGGAATGTCGACGAGGTAAACGATCAACCGACTGTCGAAGGCTTATTTGGCAGATCATCAAATGTCATTGAACAACCCGACGACGAGTTGTAGAGTCCGAAATTACTGCGGTAATTGGAATAGTAATGGTAATTACTGTTCCAAAATTTTGATCAATTTTCAAGTCATCCTTACCATTTACTGTATTATCAATCTTATCAATGCCAAAAATACTGCACAACAAAGGTATTGGTCTTTTTATTTTTGTTTACATTTTATTATCAATAATATATGAAAATATTGGTTAAAATTATCAAAAAGGTTCTTCTCTCTCTCTCTCTCTCTCTCACTCTTACTCTCACCCTTTAAATTGTTTTAATTTTTTGTTTTTTTTTTTCATCAAATTATATTTGAAAAAAAAATGAAAGTAATTAATAATTCATTAGATTAATAGTATAGGTGATGATTAAAAGTAAAAAAAAAAGAGATGAAATATAACTGAGATGACTGACTTTTCTTTATCAATCATTTTTATTAAAATATTCTCCTACTTAATTATATCTATACTATTAAGCTAATTAACATTTTCAATTCTGGTGAAACCAATGTTTTTTTTTTTTTTGTAATTTGTGTGCAATCGCACTAATCGATTAAATGGTTTACGCATCATTTGATATTTTCATAAATTACGGCCTTTTTATTTTTCATTCAGCCATTGATCTGAGAAATGGTAATTGATGTTTGAAATCAAAAAATTGCCTTTTATAACTTTAAAAAAAAAAAAATTTGGCAAACTTCAAATAACTTTTTTAAACAAATGAGGAAAATAGTTGTCATAAGTAAAATATTTGAAATTTTTAATATTTCCATCGTGCAAATTAAGGAAAGGAGGAAATAAATAGATTGAAAGGAAACAATGAGAAAAAGAAAGAATGAATGATTTCAACAGTTGAAATAGTGACAAGCGTCGGATGAATGATCATTGTAACAATGATACAAGTTTAGAATGAAAAGAGGAAATAAGAAATGAATTGTGAAGTTTTTCAAATGTAAAATTTTGAATAAATTTAGATTAGGATGTAATTTGTCTGATCATCAAGCATGCGATGAACTATGTAAACAGGATTCATATTGGTATGGACATTGTTCCACGTGGGATGGACGTGATTTTACGTGCACATGTTATCAATATAAAGTACCACTTAATGGTAGTTTGTGTAAACAGATGCAACGAATATGCAAAGAATATTGCATTAAAAGGGTAAGAGTATTGCACTAGAAATTTAAAATCTTTTTTTTTTTTGTCTTTAAAGTTTAGCAAAAATTTTTTTGTAAAATAAAAATATTACAAAAACTATTGTCATAGTCTATTAAGATACTAGAAAGTTTCAGATTCACTTATCTAAATTTTAATAATTCACACAATGCATCTCTTTTCATATTTTATATATTTCTAAACATTAGATAATTTTTGATATGGTTGCCCTCAAATTCTACTTAATTTTAATATTTTATTTCTGTATAAACCTCACAATTTTTTTAAAAATATCTTACATATCCAATCATTACAATTTATCACATTTCCTGAACTGCTTAATTAATACGAAAGCAGGTTAACGCTGTTATACAAAACATTAAAATAATATTTAAGGATGCAAAGTCATCAATAACTTTGATCAGTTTAACTAAATTGTTAATATGTTTTTTTTGAAAGTCATCACATATTTACAAGTACATGAATCATTTTTTATGTAAAATTCAAAAAACGATTTTTTTATGCTATATAAATTTGAATTTAAGAAGCAACAAGAAAAAAATTAGTGTTACCAGTAGGTAACATTAATTTTGAGATGGATGAATATAATGAATAACTGTAGCTTGATTTATTTAATTTCACCCATCAAAGATGAATTTCTATTTTTCTTAATCCAATCACATCTAATAGATAGCAGCATTGGTTAAAATTTCAAAACCAAAATTGAAGCTGTAGCAAAAATAAAATATACTAGCTGGAAAAGTTGATCCTTGCTTTTTAATGGTTAGGAAGAATCCTTTCATCTACCTGAAAAGCTATCCCAATTATCATTTCTCCCATTATATCAATCACATACTACAGTATGGTAGAAGGAATTATCTTCAGCCTTATCATCACATACATCACTTATTTCCCTCTCGCCACATTTACAGATAATTTTGGCACCACATTTCTTATTTATCCATTTAAAGCATTCTCGGAAAGTGAAGTATTCGAGCAAATGACCTTAATATTGATTAGTGTCAAATAAATGATAAAAATTTAATATTCTGCTTAAAAAAAACAGGCTTCAGTTGATGCCATTCCTATCAATTTATTATTCATCTAATTTGCATTATTTCCACACATAACATCTGAGAAAAAGAAGCGGAAAATGATTTTGATCAAAAGATTTGCTTTCATTCCAATAAAATGAAAGTAATTTCATGAAAATTTTCGGGCATTGATCATTTTGCATAAATTATGTTAATAATTCTCATTTGGAAGCTTAAAGTTAGTGAATAAAAATGCATTTTTTTAATCAAAAGTGAAGCACAGGAAAGTTCAAGCTTGGATGAAAAATTTGAAAACTCTATATATTCTAGCTACGTTAGTACGTTTCATCTTGCCAGATTTTTGTATTCCTATCTGCTTTATCATTCAATATTTTCCTTGTAACAATTTTAATTTAGTGGAAAAGATAATAAAACATAGAAGCAAACAGTCATCCTCTAAAGATGATGAAAAAATTAGAGCCAGAGAAGTGGCACACATCCGGATAAATGGATGATCCGCTTTAATTTAAAGAAAATCATTACAAAACAAAAGATGAGCACACAAACACGGACCCAACAGTAATGACAGGAACGACACCGTTATGTCTACTTTTTTCTGCTACCCTCTCTTCTCCTAATTTAAGAGATTTCTCACATTTAAATTAATCAAAATAACACAATTTCCACTGAAATCAAGACAACCATTAATTAATCCATATTTCACATGCATTGCAAATTGAATGGTGATTTACCAAGCCAATATGCCCACTTCCGCTTTATTGATCTGTTTTCTTTCTTATTCTTTTCCAAATCTCGTTTTACCTTTAAAAGAAATTAAATAATAGTAAACAATGAGCTCAGTCTTATCCATCTAATATTATATTAAAATATAACAAAAGAAGCAGATAATGTCGTATATTATAGTCCTATGGCATCTGCTCCACCCTTATATTTTAAATTACCTGTGCTTTATATAAAATAATTTCGAAGAAAACTCGTGCATTCTTTTTGGAACTTTATGTATCAATTTTAAAGATAAAACTATTGCTTAGGTCAATTTTATCGATTATATCATAAATTGTATGATCGGAGTTTTCTATATCGATATAACTAAAAACAACACTGATTTTACAGGGACTAGAAGGTGGCTATTGTTATGTTTACGCTTCTTGGAAAGCTCCAAATGGAACAACTCAATGCAAATGTTTCGAGGAACTATCACAATCTCTTCCGTGATAGCACTGATTTATAATAATTGATAATATATCATATACATTGTTTGAAAACATAAATATTTCTGTTGGTATTATTCTATAATGAAAAATTACATATTTATGTCAGAAAATATACTCTCACACAAGATTTTATTTGGAATTCCATCAAATGCAATATCTAAGTTGCTGCTCCAGTTAGGGGTCAACCTGAAAGAGGAATAATTTGTCATTTTAATATAGCAGCAGATGCATTCAATAATTAAATAAAACACCATAATAATGGAAAACTAGCAATCAATTTGACTCATTCCAGGAAAAAAGAATGTTTCCTAAAAAGTGACTTTTTTGGAAATCTTTGAGAGAGACTGTATAAATGCCATGAGTAAAAGAGATACCGGAAAAAATAAATGATGAATGGATTCGTATGATGGAAGATATGCCCTCGTTTCCTGATGTAATTCGAACAAAAAATCCATGATATCCATTACAGCCGCATATTTTGAAGAACTGAAAAAAAATTACTCATTAATCCCACAATCACAACAATCATTCACTCAGACTTGTCGACATTTTCGGTAAGGTTCATAAAAATTGTTACGAAACAGTTACGTTTCTCTCGGTGTAAAGACACAGTTTCATTACATTCCTCCAACAGAATTTTGGCCATTCGGATATTCGCGATAGCTTGTTCCCGCAGTTTGTCTTTGAATTTTGATAAACCATTCTTATGTGTTACTTGTGTCGATGCAAACTCTTTGCCAAGCAATAATTCGATATCCGCAACATCATAATCCGGTAGGGGAATGTTATACAAACTGAATTCTTCTTTATTATCCTCTTTTACGATCTTTAACTAAAAATAAATAGGTACATAATTCTGACTATGCCTAATCTGAAAATTTCTTTTTTATTCTGAACTCTAATTTCTGTCCACAGCCCGGTCTATTATGGATGTTGTGAGTAAAAAGAACGATAACTACTGCACAATTTCCAACTTTCTGTAAATTTTCTGATCCACAGATACCACCTACAGTCTTACCGTTTTAAAATTTTCCAGCATGGATTCGATACGCAAACACAGTTCATTTAAAGTTTCTGCTTTTGGTAATCTAAAAATGAAAAATGACCAATTTCCTTCATAGTTAAAGAGAACGATTTAAGAAAATTTGGAGATTGATGAAAAGTTAGCTCTTATTTACTTCCTTAAACTCTACTACCAAGTTTATTAATTTTCACCAATTATTTCCTAAAAAGAACTTTCAGTATTTGATTTACACAACTACATCGTACTAAAATATGCATATTTTGCCTCAAATTACAACATTTTCCAACTATGTGTCTTATTTCAATTAAACGCTAATGCTTCACATGCACATGAAAAAAGACGATAAATTATGGCTGGACATACTTTTTGATGGCATAAAAAGTTTTCGTTAATTTCCTTTCTGCATTAATGAAATCTTTCTTTAATGCAACATCTATCGCAGTGTCACTTTCATGCGAGTTATGGATAGAAAATTCAGCTGATTCACGGTAGTCATGAATAAATTTGTCAAACTGCAAAGATACTGATTATTTACGTTGGATATTATCATCAAATCATTTATAGGCGAAAAAAAAGACGAATGAAACTGGATAGCAGAACAGCCCGCAAATTTTACATTTCTTCACGTTAAACATTATTATCAAATCATTTATGGACGGAAAAAGAAACGAATGAAACTGGATAATATATAAGAACCCATAAATTTTAAATTTGGGTAGAGGAGCTTCAGATAAGGATATCACATACCACACAACAAATAATCCAGGAAAAAGAGAAACCTGTTCTCTGGAGTAACCCAATGCATCCATCTTCTTATCACAATCCATATCTCTGCTTCCTTCTAGACTTTCTGCCATAATTTAGCTGCAACCAATTGCACCAAAAAACTCCTAATTTTAAAAAACACTTACAATGAACAGAACAAAACGCAGCATAAAAAAACCGCAGACGTGAGTACAACGTCACCCAAAATCACGTGAATACAAGCGTAGCGCAATGAAAACTTGTTCCCAGCAATGAGTTAATAGTTATTGAACCTACCAAATTGATACCGAAACCCATAATACAGCAGTTATTGAAATGTCAGTAAAAATAAGGTAAATTGATTAATAAATCAGCCCTTGGTCAATGGCTCTGTTTCATTTCATTGTAATTTTGAGTAGTACTGGAATAGGCTACACCATGATATATTTATACAACATACAGTATGCACAGATATTTGTTAGACTCATACAGTTAAATTTAATTAATCACAATTATATAATCATTATTGCTATAATGATACATATGCAATATATATAATATATATGTATATACATATGAAAGATAATTTATCGTTTTAATATGTATTTATACAAGTTGAAGCGAAATTTTCAGCTGCGACAGTAAAATAAAAAGTCTTCTTAGATTTCCAAAAAAAAATTAGCAAAATCAGAATAATGCAAGATAATTAGATTTACACTGTAATAATCTATTCAAAAGACTGTAATAACGAAGTACTCTCTGCAGCGCTTTGCAAACGTATTCTGTAACGAATTGTTCTTTTACACGCTTCGTACGTTTCAATATACCAATATCAAGCAAAAATTCCACAACAAAATCATAACAGTTCCAATTTCTTCTGTCATAATACTGGAAAGAAATTGCATTCAATAGTTAATTATTTATCCTTCAGTATATCATACCTTTACTGAAACTATACCTTTGCAACTATGTGCATAATATGGTTGATATTTGTCTAACTAACGATTCTGTCTTTTCCTTCCTTGAAATTTCTAGGAACATATCAATTTCATTGCAATAAAATGATCAAATGAGAAAAAAAGATATCTTTTTTTCATCACATTCTATTTAAAATTAAAATTTTTTTTTGAAAAAAAAGAAACAAGTGGTAATAATTGTCTTTTTCTAATTGCTTTCTAATGAAAATGAGTAATAAAACAAACTTGACGGCTAAATTGGCTGTAATACTTCTTGATAAACATTTTCATTCTTTTATCACACATTTCGTTATCACTGAACCGATATATACAGAGGCATTCATCCCAAGATGATTCAACTATTATACCATCAGCAGTATAAGAAAATACGAAACCATTTGAATTCGATAAACCAATATGAAGGTCATCTCCCGGTTTATATCTGTGCAAATTTCAAAAAAAAAAAATTTTTTTTTAACTAAAAGATTATAAGCGAACCAAAAACTAAAATAATCACATAAAAAAAAAAACATTTCAACAACTTAAATAGTTAATATCATAATAAATCCGTCAAAAAATATGCAAATAAAAGAATAATAAGTTTAGCAGTACTGATTCTTTCCACAATTCATAAAATTTAAAAATAAAGATGTAAACTAGAAATCGAAAATTTCACTTTTCACTCTAATTAGCAAAATAATATGATGAAGCAAATTTGTTAAAAACAGGCAGCATCATTTAAATGTTACATTCGAAGACTAACAAAGATAACTTATCCAAGCAGTAATATTCATGTTTGAAAAAAAAAAATTCGAAACTAACATTTTGAATGAATTTCTCGATGGTTTCAATACCATACAACAGCATCTAGTAGTTTTAGAAAGGAATGGATCTGGTAGAAAAATACATCGCGATGTATTATCAGTAATTTGCATCCCACATTTTGGGCATAATTTATGTCCAATAATCGGTGATTTTGCTATACAACACCAATCACAGGTATTATGCACCATAAGTAAAGGTTTCATTATCGGTGAAATTATCAACAACTTATCGCTATTAAATGAATAATAATGATAAGAGCTGATCACCTCTCATCTTCTTCCGCTCTGCGCCACATTTTCTTCTTCATATAGACAATGGATAAGTATTGAAAATATTTCTATTTATTCCCAAAACTTTCCAATCTCGATGAAAATCTCGTTTCTCTATCAAAGCACTAATACATTCAATTCAAAATAGCATTATTTCTTCTTTAATTATTCACTTCCTATTAAATATTTTTATGAACGAGAAAAATCTCGGAAAATTAATTCACACCACAAAAATTCTTGAATTATCAAGTCCCAGAATCCCGGAAAAAAGAGAATAAAAAGATTTGTCGCATATTTTTAGACTCATCACTTATGGCTGGATAATTTTCAGACTTATTCTTGTAATCAATCTCCAAAATGCAATGTCATTAAATATATCCCTTTACCTATTTGACAAAAAAAAATGTCTTTTTTTACCGAATGTTTGGTGTTTGATTGTACTAATTTATTCGGAGTAAGAAATGAGTTCAGCACGTAACTTATTAAATTAATGAGTTGCTCAAAATATTAACAGAAGGTTTTCTTTCAACTGTATCACCAAGTAAAATAAAACATAAAATATCTTCTTTCATACAAACAATGATAATAAAACGACATAAATAACAGTCTGAACAGGATGAAAAATTTAAAACGTCCCTTCCATAAGGTATTATGTAATGAAATTTAAAACACTGAGAAAAATAAAATGGAACAGAAGAAAATAATAGACCAATATAAATCAACATTTAAATTCGGACCATGTAAATAAACACATGAATTGGAAATGAAAATTCCGCAACATGGCTCCCGGAGAGAAGATAAAAATACATATGCTTATTAAAATAAAATTAGCTTATTAAGTGGTGACTAAACAGTAAGCATAAGTGATATTTCGATTCATACGATTTCTTCAGTTTTTCAAGTCTCAATTTCAAACTTTTCATATAAGAATATACGTATACAGACATACATTTACTAAAATTAATGTTGTCATTATTAAAAATAAATTGCGAATAAACTGAGCTTATTGAGCAATTTGCTGGATTTCAGCAAACTTCTTAGTGCAATTTCAACCAAGGCTACTTGACAGAAGCATTGATAAAATGAAAACAAAAAAATAGAATTATGTACACCATCGACAAGTCTATTTAATTTTCTTTGTTATGATTATTGTATTTAATAATTTACTTGTAATTCTTCATTAAAAAAAGATCAGCAAATAGATTCAAGCAGTCATAACACGTTTACCAGTTTCATGATTTTTATAAAGCAAATACCTAATCATATTATGCCGTTAGCTGCATAGTACGATAATAAAAATTTCAGCACTATTCAGCTTTGTTGTTGCTGTATATTGTGAAAATCCTAAGTAAGGACCGCGGACGAACTGAATTATGCTAATCCCAATTATCATTCAATATTCAAAAGCGTCTCCACAATGTCACATTTCATAACTTCTATGTAATAAATAAACAGAACGACACAAAAAATATAAGTTTCAATATGGATGACAAATTATGATTAGTTGACATATGGTGTTGTCACTAAAGCTATTTCATTCGATGAACCACTGTAATCATCCCCTGGAAGGTTCTCATTGACATGTTTGGTAAATTCGTGCTTCCTTAAGGCTGAGCTGAAAATTTTCTGAGCCAAAAGTTTGCTCCATAAAAAAATTAAGACATATTATTTAGCATCATAAAATGCATTGATCTACAATAGCTTAAACAAGTCTGGAAAATCAATAATTTGAGCGAAAAAAGTATTTCAGAAATTTGTGACAGTTTCAATACTGAAATTCGGAATCTGATCAAACCCATGATATCTATTTTTCCCAACCAAATTTCCAGGAAAAATTTGTCATAACAATTTCTTCAAAGTTCTTACAATATATGGTTCTTAGAAAAGATTTATATATCATTAGAATGAAAGATCCAATTGTGCAGCTCAGTTTAGAACAGAATTTACAACATTTGCATTCAGTCTCATTATAACAGCATTTTTTAAATCTTTTCATCATAGCTGCAATTGATAGGAAAGAGCAATTTACCTGTCCCGAAATTCTTTGCTGCATATCGAACAACTAAATGGTCTTTCACCTGTATGTGATCTTATATGAATCGTAAGAGCCTGTGATTGTGTGAAGCCCTTACTACAGTACCCACATGTGTAAGGTCGTTCACCGGTATGCGTCCTTTCATGAATATTCTGCAAAGTTTCGACTGGAAATGAACATTTGGAATTTTTAATTATCATGGTAGGCTAACCAATTCGGCCATCTTATGTTTCATTACATAGGATTAGAGCTATTGGTTTCTGTGTTTGTCTTAAAATATGCACTAAAAACATAAATTAATAAATACTTCCGACTATATGGAACATACAGCTCTATATAATATAAAAAAGTAATTTTTTCATTATCATAAAAAAACAATATTGTTTAAAATATGTAATTTTTGATCGAATTAACAAAAAAGTAGAATTACTCCCCATTTCGAATCCTAAACATTTTAAAGGAATTCTATGTAACTTTAGTGTATTCTCCCTAATGCATATTAACAAATAACAATGTATTCAAGGAATAACAATTACCTTATCTCTTCGATGATAGAACATTTTATCACAATAATAACAACGATATCTTAGTGGACGATCAGTTAGCACAGGCAAACCATTCATTAATGCAAAACATTTTTGCTGAAATTAATCGCATAAATAAAGAAAGTGGTGGTGTACTGTTTTTCTCATTCATTCCTAGAACTCAGAAAAGATGAAGCCTTGACCAAAGATGAAGCTAATGGTTGTTACCTCCTTTAAATACTTAAAATCAATTTATTAAAATTTGACCCATCATCTTTGTGCTATCAAAAGCCTTGAAGAATCTCAAAAAATATTTTTAAATCGATATCAATTTAAATATATTAAAATATTTTTCAGATTTCAGATAAACTGAAATAAAACACATGACAGAAAAACAGGAAAATATTTGCTGTTATAAAATCATTGCAGTGATTTTTTAATTCGTAAAATTACTTTCAAATAATATTTATCCATTACCTGATGTTCAGTCATTAATGACTGTGTCCTAAACCATTTGCCACACAAAGAGCAAAAATAGCGACGGCCACTCGCATGAAGTTTCATATGTATATTGAAGTTCACTTGACGAGCAAAACATTTTGTACATATTGGGCATTGATAAGGTCGTCCAGCTATAAAGTATTATCATGATAAAGATAGATTTTGCAAGCAACTTATGAAGAGAAGTCCTGTAGAAACCAACTGTAACCAGCCTTGATAAAACTACTTCGGTAGTTAAATTTTGTTTTTAATATACTGAAATATATGCTTCTCTGGATAGCTGTTTTATTTTTCACTAGAAACAGCCACAGACAAACAGTTCAGCAGTCACTTTATAAATAAATTAAATCCCAGGCTAACACATAAAAATATGTTGCACTAATTTTTTTTGAAAATAAAATGGTAGGAGAAATACTAATAGTTACTGATATGAGTCTTTTCATGAGCAAGTAAGGGCCGCTTGTGAGCGTAGGCGCGACCACATATTTTACACCGGTAAATAGGCCTATAGAGACCAGTTTCGTGATCACTCCACAGCACATCGTCAGCAAAAGAGTCATCCAATTCACCCTCATTTTTCTGACACATAACATCGTCAACTACAAAATCGTTTTAATGTATAAACTGATTAAATGAATTCATATCTCGAAATGATTTGAAGTCACGAAAGCTGTAATTTTTTACATTTCGTGGGTATCATATCATACTGGCCTAATGGAACTCAAATTTTTTTGCACAAAAAATAACATGATATAAAACTAGCCCATATGCATTTTGGGAACATCGGTAACTTTAAATGTTAATTTATTGCTGCCAATCAAAATCGAAAATTTTTGCAAAGAATTTCGCCCTTTCCAACGTTCATTTTCTGAAGTTTCTGATGATTCGAATTCGTTCATGGAATGGGTATTTTCGCTCTGCAAATAATAAATTTTGAAGAGGCATATATGGAACAACCAAATCGTAAGCAGAATTGCTACATTATCTGATAATTCATTGTCTCCTTCCTATAACAGCCATGCGTATTCTACGCAGATGTTTGAAGCAATTAAACTATTAAAGTGCCCAGGCTAAAACATCTCACTGAGTGATAATCTAACTAACATTCAGCTGGTTTCATAACAGATAAAAATAAAAGATATATAGGGGATAAAAGTAAAGAAGCCGTGCAAAGGATATGTTATATGTCTATCAGTCTCTTACCTCAATCGACTCCTGCAAGGCCTTTTCGTTAATCAGTATCGGACATTCATCATCACTACCTTCCGATGCTATTTCCTGAAAAGTAACAAATATTTTTTTCTAAAAATAATCTATTGCTACAAAATGCAAGAGAATTCTTGTGGAACATTTGTGGAATTTATGAACATTCATGTCAGTTTATCATTTCCTGCATTTCATCTTCAAATATGCTACTCTCATGTAAAATTCTGTATCGAGACATAATCAGTAGAAAATTTTCAAAGTTTCAAGAATTCATATTTTAATATAAAGAAGTAAAGCTTCATGTACAAGAAACAAGAAGAGAATTTCTAAGAAATTCGCTACCAGTACGCATAGACGCAAAATCTGTCTTACCTGACTCATTTGGACATTGGCAATAACAGATGATGACTCATTGGAATCATCACTTTCAATTATCACTGAATGCATCTTCTGTAGATCTGATTCCGATTTTTCTGCCATAGCCATTTAAACAGATTTTTTAATAAAATGATTTCCCAAATCCGTACGATTTATTTTGTCTGAAATTCATTTTATTCTATGCAACACCATCTCACATGTAATGAAATTTTCACTCATTCGAAACATTCTTGGGCACGTATAAATTATAGAAAATATACGAGTACTAATATTAACATTAGAAATCAACTTGAAATATAGATCACATCATACATTAGTTTTTAGCAATGATTGAAAGTGAAAAAAAAAAAAAACCACACATACCTTAATTTTCAATTCGAAATCGGAAACAAATCGAACCATCTAAAATTCACTATCACAATCTTCCAAAGCTTTCCTGTCTCTTTCTGGTCCGGTAGTTCGTGGATCGTTCATATTCTCCTTATCCAATACCAGTATAACTGCATTTTACATTTTTCTCATCAAACATTATTATATGCCATTTTCTATTCTGTTCCATTATTCTTAATTTTCTCTTTTAACTCGCCGCGTGCTATTTTCTCATCATATCGATCTCTAACGTATCTCCATTCTCACCGTTTCTAATTTACTTTTCCGTACTACCTATAAAGAAGTTGGAGATCGAACACGTAAATCTCTCTGCAGAGAAAACCGTTTACCTCGCTTTTTCATACCCGGGTAAGTTACCCCGTCAAGATAGCCGAAAAATGGTGCTGTCAGAAACGAGGAATTTTGTCATCTGAGCATGGCTATGACAGGGATAACTTCTATTCTTCATTCAGCAAACATCATCCTAACTCACATGGGCATTGAACTCGTCCATTCTTCAACGCATAGTTAGAGTCAGACCCCGTACACCATCATTACCAAGCAGATGGCGGTCTCGAAATGATATGAGAAATTTGCAGAGAGAAGTTCAATTTCGAAAATGTCAAGAGTGTTCTCGTCTTCACGCACATTTTTCAATTTCGAGAATGTCAAGAGTGTTCTCGTCTTCATGCACTTTGTGCATGACATGAGTGCAGGATTTGTAAACCTGTACCGATGCAGTGTAAGGCGAGGAGAGACAAGAGATGGTATAGATTTTTGTATACCGGAAGTGAATTTCAAAGAAAGTTTTGACATCAGAGTGAATAGAAGCAACATGTTGAGAAATTAAATCAATTTAAATATGCAAGGATTGTTTTTTCCATGCAGGCGTGCATTCTGGAAATCTAATGGTCGATATTAACAACAGTATTTTTTTACAGTTTTTCAGTATTTCAGTAGTTTTTTAGTAGACAGTATTTTTCTGGTTTATGTTGTGGAATTGCAAGTCAATTAGACAGCAAGACGTGCTACTCTTCTCACGTATAATTTCTATCACACTGTCTGATCTCGATCTCGCATTGTCTCTTTTTTCTTCTTTTCACTTCCCTTCCTTATTTCTTTGTTTTTTTTAGCGCTACATGTTGAAATTATACAATTCCAACAGTTTTTTTCCTCTCGAATTCAATTTTATTGAAATTTAAAATTTGACTTTCAATTTAAGATTGAAATTCTTAGAGATCAAACTTTTGAATTCCTACATTCTTACATCAAAAATCATCTATTTCTTTCTTCCCTTTGTCATCCAATGTGCCAAGCTAATAATATATGATCATGAAATTGTAAATTTTTTATGCGCAAAATTAAAATTAGGAAAAAATTTATTTCGACAGGTCATTAATACCACTCAACTACTTTACAGAATTTCAAGCATATAATTGGGGATTTATCAAAGAATATAATTGATACTGTTTGATACTGTCAGAGTGATGAATTTCAAATTAAAAATACTACGAGCGTACAAGGTTACTCTTTTGCATATTTGTTAAGATAAAATTTATTGTTATGCTTTTTTGAGAGCAATGCATTTATTTAGTAAAAGATGAATTGGCGCAAGTCAAAAAGTAAAACTTTTTTTTTAAAATTTTATAGACCAATCTTGACATCGACTAAATTTTAACTTTAACTAAGTTAATGGCCAACAGATGTTAAATAATAGATTGGTTTTATCCATTAAAAGATAATCGTTGTGATAATTATTCCTCATCAGATCTTGCAGAAAGTGCATATAAATAATGCTTGCGTCCATTTCTTCATGACACATTTTACGGTTGTCACAAAGATTTCATTTTTTTTTGAAGTTAGATAGTAAAATATTTCCTGTTTTTTTAAAATTCAATTTGCTTCTTTGAACATCTGATACGAAGCAATTAATTGTCTGTTTTCTTTCTGTTTTTCTTTCTGTAACATTAATTCCTTTTGCAACAACTGATTCATGTTTCCATTTGAAACATTAAAATTAATATATTTTTTCCATACATTTTGATAATATAAACATTGATTGATAATAACGATAATAACGATAATATAATAGTGATAATGATAATAATAACAATGATAATAATAATACTTTAATCTGCTCAAAATGTCAAATTTGTCAAACAAATGCGTTTTTATTGATATGCTTATAAAATTATAAAATATCTCGAATCGAACTACATGTTGATTTAAACTAATGATGAGATATTTTACTAAATATACGTGCTTCCTTTTCAAGTTTGTTAATTTATCTTAAGTTTTAATTTTTGATCGACTTTTAATTTGTTTTTTCCTCAAAAATGCTTCCTTTTTTTTTAAAATTCTCATTAAATATGCGGCAGGAAGAAACTAATCTTAGCACTCCATTACAATAATGAAATTCTTTATTGGTTTAGCAATATAATTGTAAATGAAACAAATGCCATAAGTCCGTCTTAAGATTAATTAGAAAAAATGCTTATATAGCTATAAATTTAGCATTAGCGCATACTATGCGGGAACTAATCATTTATTCATTTCTTCTTGCTGATGTTACTAAACGGAAAAAAATTATCAAAAGTTTGCATATAACTAAAATTTGAATTATTGATAACTTATATAAACATACGTGATACAATTTTTTTTCCTTTATTACTTATCTTTTCTTATTTTACGGTTATATTTTAATGATATTGAAGAGTGCATTGAATGAAAGTTCTTTTCAAAATTTTGTTTTCAATTGTGTCACTATTTCAATTGTGTCACTATTAAATTTTTGTTTTCAATTGTGTCACTATTAAATTTTTGTTTTCAATTGTGTCACTATATTTTCAGTTTTTCTCTGTTAGATTGCTATCTTTATTAATTAACATTCATAATGCAAAAGAAAAAAAATTACGTCAATAACTATTTATACGAGAGCTAATCCTTTACTTTCGCTCTTTCACACAAATATTCTTTAACTATACAACTTTTGTTTATATATATGTATATATATAAATGTATATATTTTTTGAATTTCTGAATAGTAATATTACTATCCATCCAATCACAACCCCCATAAGGATAAGAAGTTTGACATGTATGGAATATTTCACTGTTCGGAATGTTTTTTTTTTTGCTTATATTTCGTTATTTTTGAATCCTTTTTTCAATTTAATTTTCTTTGAATTCTTTTTCTCTTCTGAAATCTTTTTCAATTTCTTTTGAATCCTTTTTTTCAATTCCATTATTTACCACATATTTAAATTATGGTTACAAAAATATTATGAATGAATAAGGAGCAAAACTGTATTTGCTAATTTCTTAAGAATTCGAACGAAAATTTGTTATTTGTTTTAGTTTGTTTTTTGCTTTACGCTTCTTGGATGTTGAAAGGAAGATCAAAAGCAGTCGTCAAAAGCTATTTTCAAGTATTTTTGATATTTTGGCTATTATATAAATATTTTCTGAAAGCCAAAAGTAAATGAAAGAGGGAGAGAGAGAGAAAAAAGGAAAGAGGGAGGAAGAAAGAAGAGGAAGAATTGTGATATTTCTAATTCAAGTAGTAATAAAGGGGCTAGACAAATATACAAAGTATTTCAAGCTCACTCTCTTCATTGCTCATGCCATTTCTTATTCTTAGGAAAGAAACTTGCTAATTTTTGCTCTGACATTCACTTGGTTTATTTTTTTCGGTTGAATGATTTTCGAATTTTTGACTTTGCTTTTTTTTTAAACTTTCGAAAAATTTCATGGTTTTCTTTTTTTTAAAAAAAGGAAAAAGAAAAAAGAAATTTGTTTAGTCAATTTATTTAAAAAGATGAAAAAGACAGAAAGAAGTGTTTTTCTTTGCGGATTAGCAAGAAATATAATTTTTCCAATCTAGAAATTACTTCAATTTTTCCAATTTTGCTATTTTACTGTCAATGAAATGATACTGTTAATTAATAATTAAGATAAATTGTTGCTTTAAAACTCTTAAAATCGACAATATTAGCTTGAACACTTCATTTCCACTAAACAATTTTATTTTTTTCCAACATTAAAAGTTTAGCAAAGTAGACAAATTTCATTTTATCCGATGGAAGGTAATTTTACCTGAAACATTTCTTATATTTTTCTCTTACCGCTATTACATTTATTGAATTATTTAAGAATATTTATTGTGTTGTACTATTTTCGCATATATTAAATTAAAAATAGTTTAACTTAAAACACTTTTCAGCGAAAATAAATAATGAAATCATTTCTTATTTGAGCAAAATTTTTCCCATCCATTTAGTTACATTCAAAAATCTTAAAAAAGCCTATAAAATGAATGATTTCAATTTATTCGAAAATTAAGTTAACAACAACGATAAAAATTATGCAGCCGTGAGATTTATTTACAACATTTCTTCTATTTACATATTTTTATTGACAATTTTTTTCGCCCACATTTTCATCAATCCTTTTTCCTCTCTTTTTTCCCATTTGATGAAGCACTTTTGAAATGAGTATGGAAATTTCAATAGAATGCCAAATTGTTTTTCTTAGCTTTTCATTTTAAAAAATTCTAATTTTTCTTCCTCATCTTCTAATACGTTTTCTTACTTTTTTTTGTTGTCATTTAATGCAATATCATTTATGATTTATTAAATTCTATCAATTCAAATTAATTTCATTCAATCCCAATGAAATAATCTCTTTTTTTTCGCTACACAATTGTCTGCATTTTTTCCATTGTTATATTTCAGAAATCAATAAAATCAATAGGTGAAATGCCATTATTTGAGGGTTGTTGCTCAAATTTAGCCATTGATCGGAAGAAATCAACTGCATATGCACCGTCAACATATGAATTGGGTGAATAATTGTTAAATTTTAATTTTTGTTTAGTAATATGCAAATTAGTAAATTAAATATCGCAGAAATGAAAGCATTTGTTATTTCTGAATGAATAAAATTTATTCCAGAATTGTTTTATTATAACTATAAATTAAATAATTGATGAAATATACATATCATAAAAATGAACTGTTTTTTTTTTTTGTTTCAGAAACAAAACAGCAACAACAACAACAACCACAACAGCAAGAGCCATCAACATCTAAACATGCGGTAAAGGCTAACCAAATTCTATTAAAATAAAATTTAAATATTACTCATTTATTACAAATGTATATTGCTACTACTGTATTTAATCTTATAGTAGAGAAATGCTTGGATTTTTTATTTAATTTATTAACTTATTTTGCAACAAGAGATGAGGTAATTATATTCATAATTACAACAAGAGATAATTATATTCATAATTATAATTACAAGTCTTCTGTTTTGATATTGGAATTTAATGATTCCAGTATCAAAAGAGAAGAATTTATATTCTTTGCAATAAAATAACTTTTTCTAACCCATTTTATTACCTTTATTTCTTTCATCTCTGATAGTGTTTCATTTTAATCAAATTGATTTAATTCAATAAAAAAAAAACATCTTATTGAAAAGAATCACTATTCTTTAAAGCACTGAAAATTGCCGAAATTATTTCACTTTAATTTTTTTCCCCTTTTTGATATTTTATCTTCGATGTGTCGTAAATATACATTTTGTTGTTTACTATAAACTTAGAAAAGTGCAAAGGAGAAAAATAATGAAAATGATATGTTAAAGAGATGAAATCAGACAATCAGATGCAAGAGGCTCATATTAACATCATCACATGATGATACGACAATCTACTGATAATAAACTGTTATAATAAGAGAATTTACATTATCAGTAGTTTTATCTAATTACATTTCATCTCATTGTTTGTATTCTCTTGTATTTCTCTTATCCAATCTATTACTGTCTTTGATATAATTATTGTTTCAATACTTACCGTATCATTTCCAGAAATTATTTCACATCGTTTTTGATATTTTAAAAAGATGAAAGATGAGAATTTATGGTAATTTATATTAAATGAAAGATGAATATAATTTAAAATGATAGAATAGAAAATAGAATAAGGAAGAAATGAAAATTGCACTTTGAAAAATCTTTAATGAACTTCCATCTAACAAGTGCAGTAATCAAATTAATTTATCATGTTTTTATTTAAATTATATTGAAAATTTTTATGTAATTATCGCAAATTTTTTTCCTATTATTTTAAAATATGCATTCCATGAAGTTTTTTTTCCTTCTTTTTCTTTTTTGAACATTTTTAAAAATTTGCTTTTATTTTTGTTAAGAAATATTTTTATCATTCCTTTTCACATAATTCATCATTGATCCACTAAAGGTCCTTTTTTTACTGGTCGTGTTTTTTCCTCTCCTTTTTTCTCCTTCGAACTTTGCGTCATCACTAAAGTACACCGTATGTCTGCAGCAATATTTTTAAACTCAATCATGGTAATACTTTTTTTTTCTTCTTTTAGCGATCATTAAAGCAGAGGAAGAGTGGATGTTGTTCATGTCGAGAAATGAATGGAAGTGGGAAAAATCCGATTGTCCGATTTAACGAAGGACTACCGAGTAAGTGAAAATTGATCGATCAATATGAAGTTAGATATTATTATAGGTGAAGTGATTAGATGATAATTTATTCCAAATCTAAATACTTTCGTGGAGTGTTAATGCAATATAAATAAATTCAAACAGCTGATAATCCAAATTGATAGAAATCAATTAAACAGAATGCATTTGACAGATGGCATCATTGATCTGTTCATGGAGGAATATAAATATTCTGGTTTAATTTTAATATTAATTAGAATGGTTAGTTAAATGAATGAAAATGATCGGTAGTAGTAAAGATTAGCTTATTGACATGATAATTAATGGAAAATGATTAATTAAATAGTATACTTGAAATTGAAATCTTAAAGCTGGTTCAACTGAAATGCTTCATGCAACAAATTTCTATCAGAATTGTGTGGATGAAGATACAGAAAGTCGATGGATGGAAGTTTACGAAGAACAAAGATCTGTTGGGCAAACATCATCCGGTTCAATTTTTGCAGTTATAAATTTCAAAAAAAGATGAAAAATTGTCCGCATAAACCTTTTCAAATTATCATTTATAAACAATTTCAAATTATTTCGATTTTGAATTATAAATATTTTAAAATTTTGCATTTTTTTCGCAATTATTATACTTTTTTAACGAGTTTTTTTTCCTTCATTTTTTTTTTGTTAATAGAAAATGATGGAGAAAATGAAGTGATTACTTCGAAGTTATCAACACGATCCACAATCGAAATTGGTCAGCCTAAACCGGATAACAGCAGTACATTTTTAGGTAATCAATATATTTTATCTATTTCATTGCCAACTTCCTACTGAACTTCTTATCAGTTATTCCAAAGCATTCATTATCTTCATTTATCTAACTTATCATATTTGTGTAATGATCTTTATAGCATCATTTAATTTCACTCAGTAAAACAAGCAGTAATTTAGAAATTAATATAGAAAAAAGTCTTGAAATTTCTAACATAATGATAAATGATTTCATTTCGTAAACATCGAATTATTTAAATTAAAAATATTACCTTTCAACAGTGCTACAAACATCAAAATATCTTTACTACAATCGATTAAAGTTTAGATCAATGATATTAGTCCGAGAGAAAAAATAATAAAATCGATTATCAATCTTTCAGAAAAGACACATTCAGCAGAACCAAAAGGTGGAAATTTCGAGTCACACTTGCAACGATGTCACGAGATGGAAAATATTGACAAAGTCGCACAACAAGGATGAAGCAAATGCGAACCTCATGTATTATAAATTGTCTCCTAAAATTTCATCATGAGTTTTAATTGTAATTTTTGTAATAGTGTAAATTTGTTAAACATTTTTTACTACAAATGTTTCAACATATTAAGGGAAAAAATACACATCTATTATTAGGATAAAACTTCAACTCAGAAAACAAGTATGAAAATACATTCACATCTGAATTTATATCAACTTAAAAATCGTTCAACCGATCGATGCTTGTCTCTTCGCTCAATTACACTTTTCCTGAATAAACCAGTTTTAGCTCGCTAAATTTTAATAGACATTGCATTGTAAATAAATGCATTTAAAGAGTCTCCGAAAATTAGTGAGACTCTGTCATCTCGAGGAAGAGTTGTTTTCCAGCAATTTGTTTCATTTTTCGACAATTGATTCTTCATTGATTATGGTATCATATCTCTCAACTTTTGACATCTACTGCTTTAGTTCAAAATTCAGAATTTTTTCTCAACTAGTGTGACAATAATGCACAAGTATATATGTACTAAAATTCACCGTAATAAGATCCTTTTAATGCTGAATTATCAGGATGAGCTCGTCAGTATAATCAATAAAAATAATGAAATCCATTCAAGTGTTTTATCCGAAATCTGTAAGAATTCCATACTAAACATTAAAGGCAATGAAGTAGTAGGTCATAAGGCAGAGTCAGGACAATAGGTTCAAGTCATCTCATAACGTCCCAATTAACTATTTAATAGATGGAAGCTATGACGAAATCTTTGGTAAGTGCAAAAAACAAAGATAAAAATTATAAATAAAAATGAATTTATGTCGTGCAAAATAACTCCGTTCTTTTTTCTTTTTAATGGCTTATTTCATAAAAAAATGTAACACAATAGAAAAAAAAAAGCCTTTGACATTGCCAAATGGTGAGAAACAATTTTCAAAAATTGCAGCAAATTTTTTTAACATTCCAGAAATATATTTCATAGTTTACTCCACAGTAATTAAGTCATAGCAAAAATAACAGAAAAGAGTGAGTTGAAGCAACAACAACATCATTCAGTACGAACACTAATGCAGTCTTATTAGCGAACAGCCATCACCTGCAACATAAGCCTATCATTAATTACTTTGATTTTTCTACTTAAACATTTCCAGCATTTGGACACAATACACATATAAGATAGAGATTTGATTTTGTGAAAAACCCTTTTAAGTAATTTCTGTGATCCTTTACTCGATCGCTATCCTTTACTTTCCATTTATTGCAACAATAAAAAAAGTAAGTTAAACTGAAAAATATATCTGTTCAATAGCAAATAGTGCGAACTATAAATTTATGAGCTTAGTTTCAGCCAAATTTATGCAAATGTTTCGCAAAAATCACTCTCAAAATAATAAACTTACAATGTCGTCAATTTTGAGAATAGAGCGGACACATTCAGTAGCTTGTTTGACTGCTGAGGATGATACCAAAAGCGGTTGCAATACATTTTCCTCTCTGATATCAGTAACATAGCCCTAAAAAGCGATTATCTATTTGACAGAATTAATTTATGAGATTCTATGAGTAATAAAGATTTAAGTGTTAAAACCATTTAGCGTACACCGATATCAATCAAAGAGCAACAGTCGTTCTAGCATGTACATAAGTAAACTAACCTTGCGAACATTTATTCCATGATTCTTTTTCCCGTTCGCGTGCTGAGCGCGTAATTCGGTAACGGTAGCTATCGGATTCAAGCCAGCATTTTCGGCTAATGTATATGGAACCTGTTCAAGGGCATCCGCAAAAGCCTGAAAGGAAATCAAAAAAAAATACCACAGATGAAGTTTTATTTATCATTTACTTTTCACGAAAACTGTAAAAGACATTTGAGAAATTCAAGTTATTAACAAATTTGCTTCATAAGAGAAGTTTTACTATGTGTTATGAGATTTTGCAAAAAATAATGGAACGAACTCTCCAACAGTACTGTTCAGCACCAGGTCTTTCCTGAGCTAGTTGACGCAACTGCACTGCTATCTCCGTTTCAGGTGCGCCACCACCTAAAGCAGAATAATTAGTATCATCCGATGAACAAATATTATTGTCTTACAATCGAAAAGATTTATGGCTGCAGATCTTTACTAGCAATGTGTTGCTGTAACTGAGCCATTTCTTTTATGGCGAAAAAATTACTAATCAAAAATGAAACTTAATATTAAATATTTTGACAAACCAGGAAGGAGGGCTCTCTTTTTTACCAAGCATCGTATAACGCAAAGTGCATCATGAAATGATCGTTCTGCTTCTTCCAACACCAATTTATTAGAACCACGAATTAAAACAGAAACTGCCTGGCCCGGATTTTGCACACCGGTAACCTGGAAACTAATTTAATTTGCTTGCTTCAAACATATAGATTTCATTCTCCAAATGACGTAATGCAACTTATGAGCGAAAAAAACGATACATATTAGGATTTCGATCCAATATCTCTGCCTCTGAAAAGCAAAAATCAAGCTTACAATGTACTAAGGATAATGGAAATAGTTTACCTGAATAATTTTTCCATCTCCTCCCGTTGGAATCTGTTCAACAAGATCTGCAGAACCTAATGCCTCGGGAACAAAGTGGTCAATTGATGCAACTGGACGACAACCGAGAATGCGAGAATAAAACTCGATATCTTCTCTTTCAATATCTTTTACCACCATGATCTTCATTTTCGCCAAAAAATGTAAAGACATCTCATTTACCGCATCTCTTTAACAAATATTATTTCATGAAAAATGATTTAAATATAAAAATACGGAAGTTTCCCTCTCTTAATCATTTAACTTTTTATCAGAATCGTGGATTAATATTAGACTGGAAAAACGTTACTCAAACATGATGCAAAACCGTCTATCTTACAGATAAAAAGACAAAACAATGGCTTTAAAAACGAATTAAAACAAACCACAAATTTTCCTGCTTCGACCATTACCTACTCTCTAGACTAATTTTAAAGTTATAAAAGTTTTATTTCATAAAAAAAACGATTTTAAAACACCTGAGAATGCTTTTCTGTATAAGTAAGACATTACATCCTGCCTTCTTGATTTGCTTGCATAAGTCGAGCAAGTAAGTTCGTTCTTCCTTTAAAGCTCGATCCATTTGAGTGTAATCGGATAAGATCACTTGATTTTCCATCTTAAATGATAAAAAAAATCATGCTAAGAAAAACACCAACAAAATTCCAACATAATCTACCAATAGGACAGCAAATAAGAAGATACACAGAGTACTAAATTACTTAGATTCATATGGAAGAAAACATACATCAGTTTTTGGAGGACTCAGCTGAAACTGAATTAGTCCAATCTGAGCTTTTTCAACACGAGTTGGACCACCACGTCCCATGGAACGCTGATCAATAAGTGCGCCATCTACCAAACGAGACTCTTCAACAGTTTCGCCTACCTTCTTCACGATTTTAATCATCCGCAAATCAACGTTATTATCCTCCGCATTGATAATCTGAATTTATAGATATGAACAGTGACGAATTAATTGTTAATTAAATGTTAATTATCCAATCAAAAGATTACTTTTTTAACTGCATTCACTGCCATCGGTGCAAGCAACCATGAGTATTGGGATACAACCTAAAACATTGCACAAAATAAACTAAACGCTAATAATAAGCGCTGAAGACAACACTACTTTTTTGAGTCTCTTAATAAAGATAACTTGCTTGATTGTCATTATATTCCCTACCTTATAAAAGAGCTTCGTAAAAATGGCACTTCACTACAACGAGAAGATTACGCTAATATGATAAGAATACTCTAAAATGCCGATTTTTCTGAGATTGATTTTGGCATCCTTATGAAAACTACAAGCGATAATTAATGAATATACGAAATAGCTACTTTAGAATTTAAACTAGTTGTGGCAATTTTTGCCAGTTGGTTATCGTTTTCGAGATCGACTGGTGAAGCCATGGATTCCAAGATCCTTTCAGCCTGAACTGAAGCACGCTGAAAACTCTCCGAAATCGTTGTCGGATGAATTCCTAAAATGAATCTTCACAGATTAACACAGCTGTTATTCTTGCCTCATGCCGTTCCAAACCTAGGTAGAAAAGAATAAAAAATTTCTCCATCCTCCAATTTTATAAGCTTTTTGCTTTTTCTGTCCTTCTATTTAGAGTTAGCAAAACAAATGAACTACCTTTGTTTAACAATTTCTCCGCGCCATCAAGTAGTGCACCAGCAATAACAACTACTGTTGTAGTTCCATCGCCAGCTTCGATATCCTGAGCCTTCGATAGTTCAACCAACTAAAAGCACGAATAGTTTTATCAATTTGTCATAACAACATTCTAAATTAATTGCAATAACATCGATTAGGAAATAGCTGTAACAATATGCTCTGAAATTATTCTCGTCCCATAATTGCGACTGATAGGATAACCAACAAAAGTTTCACCATTTTAGCTGCAGGATGTATGACGCTCATTTGTTTTAAAATCGTTGCGCCGTCGTTTGTGATTGTTACTTCACCCTTTCCCGTTTCAATCATTTTATCCATCCCTATATGAAATATAATGTTCACTCGTATACAGTCATTAATCATCATTGATTCCTAACTTTTCTTATCAATTTCAAGAACGACAACAAAAAGTGGTTCAGCTTCTCCAATCTCATTAAAAAATACAGCAAAATTCGAAATAGCAAAGCAACCTTTAGGTCCCAGACTTGTTCTAATTGCATCAGCGACAGCTTTTGCTGCAGTGATATTACTACTTCGCACACTATCTGGCTTTTCCTTATCCTACAAGCATGACGAGTTAAAGTTTATCTTGGTACAATAGGGAACAGATCTAGTTCAATATAAATCACGTATGTAACGGTATCCAATTAAAGCTAAATAGTAACAAATTTTCAGACTTGATTAATGTTAGCACAACTGACATGATTACTTCACAGTAACATTGTGTGTGAATGTTTAAAATAGTTCGCATAATGAATGATTACTGAATAATTGAAATGATTTTAATTACAGCTAATTACTTCATCTCTCTGTCGTTTCTCATCCTTATCCACTAATGGGCTGCAATGTTTCCTCATCCTCAATTAAATTCAGCCTAAATGACAAATATTTCACTCTTTACCTCACTAACACATCATTTACTCTAATAAATATTGGAATTGATTCGAAATTATAAGAGCAATAATAATAAAGAAGAGAATATACCTTAAAAAAAAGTGGTGGAATTTTTCCAGGTGCTTTCGGTGGAGCAGTCGCTGCTTTCGCCATTATTTCAGGATAACGATAAGGTAGAACGGAATGTAAATAGACTGCTGTACCTTAATTTCGATCAAATCATTATGACATTATTATCATTACACAATCACTTATATACCTTTTTATATACACTTATACACTTATATATCTTCACCTATAAACTTATATACCTCTTCTCCACCTCTGTCTTCCCGCGACATCCCAGCCACAAACCTCACATCCAACCAACAAGCTAACCCAATAATCCTCCCAGTCTCAGTTACTTCCTCCGGAAAATCCGGGCCGGCCGAAATAGACTGGGATTTAGTGGTTCGGACCTATTCTCATTCGAATTCGGTTTTTGCCGTGAAGGCTGAGATGGAGGATAAAGGATACTTTCTGAGGGTTACCTTCCATCTAAGGATACGAAATTTTTGTTTGCAGGTTTTATTATTATCCTGAATAGATCATAACTTCTATGAATTATGCTTGGTACGCCATCATTAAATTCAACGTCGACACCTCGAGCACCAGGTAAGTTATTTTCTTTCATCTCTCTCTCTCTCTCTCTCTCTCTCATTTGTCGGCATTTTAAGGAGAAAAATTTGCAATTTAAACTTCGTCAAAAACAACCAAAAACCTAATTTTAAATGAGAGGATAGTAAATTTTCAGCAAATATCAATTTCTTTCTCATTTCTCTTACATCATCATTTCAGAAGACGAAGATTCCCGAAATGTTATTGATCGTTTGGCAGAATTTGTGGCAAAAAATGGGATGGAATTTGAGGAACGCACGAGAGCCAAGCAGTATGGTGATCCACGTTTTGCTTTTTTATACGGTGGCGAATTTGCGGATTACTATCGTTTCCGGGTGATGCAAGAAATCCAAAAGTGTAAGAAATTTTTTAGTAGTTTTGAATTTTCATATCAATACTTCGGTTAAATATAAATAATTAAATGAATTTAGACTAGATCTTCTGGTGATTAAAACTATAACATTCTTGATTTACCTATATGCTGGAACTATGACTTTTATTATCCAGTGGCAAAGTTTTGCGCTTCGTATTCTCCTGTTATTTATTGTTGCAAATTAAGGAGTAAAATTATTAAGAGCAAATACAAAAATAATGATTCTTATTTGTACACTATCACATAATGTGATGTGAACTGTAATTCATAAATTTCATTCGTTTGCCTATTCCAGCATTTACGATTGTTTTTATTATACAATGTTGATTTCATATTTCAGTAAACGATGGAAATCCGTCTGCAAGTTTAGCACCTCCTTCAGCTATACAAGTACAGCAATTTGATGCAAATACGGCCTTGGCACAAATTGCAACTTTTAATCAACAAATTGCTGATAGTGAGGCGAATTTAAGAGCTCAATTTGAGTCCATCGAATTACAAAAAGAGGTGTTGCTTGTAGAATTGTTGCACTGACGAAATTTAGCACATCGCTTTATCATTTAATATCATACATTCTTGATATTGCATAATTTTTATACACAGTTGCATTTTTTTCTTCGAAATAAAGTTCTCTGCATATCGTTAATCAAACTGTTGCCGATGATTCTTTTTCTTAATTTGTATTTTGGTAATTTTTCTGTAATATTGTTTAAAATTATTCTGATTGTGATTTTAGGCCCAACTCGCTATAGCAATTGAAAAAGCTGAAGCAGATAAAATAGCATCGATATGTGAGCAAGTTGCTCTAGATGTTGAACCTCTTTCGAAAATGCTCGATCAGCTTAATGGTCACTGCAGTAAAGATGTTATCTCGGTGAGTTTCAATTTGACTTACGATTTGTAAAATGATAAAGCTCAAATATAATTCTGAAATATGTTAGAGAATATTAAAAATGAAAGAAGAAAACCACTCCAATAAAGAAATGACAATTGAACCCATTCAAGGCTCAATTGTCATTTCTTTATTGGAGTGGTTTTCTTCTTTAATTTTTAATATTCTCTAACATATTTCAGAATTATATTTGAGCTTTATCATTTTACAAATTTTCCAGAACAGCAAAAAATGGATATTCGAGAAATGTACAACTGACCGCCTGCGTGAGGCCATATTGATGTACCTACTGTACCGAGTGAAAGAGCCACGCGCTACCGAGCAATTCAAACTTCATATTTTATATTTAATAAACGATTGGGCGCATCATTGGTGAGAATTCTTTATTTATCGAATTTTTAAACCTTATTTAAAATTGGGGTATTTTAAAACAGACTGAAACCTTATATATTTTTAAAATAACATTTGGTAAAATTATAAAAGCTATTCGTTTATTCAATGCTGTAAAACATCTGAAGATCACATGCTTGTTAAAATCATAAGTAGATCTTTCCTTGCTAGGTGATTCTTAACCGTTTTAAAATTGCTATTTCACTTAAAAGATATGAAAAGAGCAAAAAAAGTCACTCTGATCAGTATACTTTTTGTTATTGAATTTGTTAAACATTTATTTTTGTCGCTAAGAATTTGATTAGTTTGCATCATTATTTATTAAAACCTCGGTTATTTCAATTTAGTCAGCGTAAAAAGTTGGATGCAATTCGACAAATGCTTTCGCGATACGTACCGCAACTCTACGCTTTCACAGCTCAGGGTGTTAAAGAATCAGTTGTGAATGAAAAATTGGAGAAATTGATTGGTGTATGGGAAGGCCACAAATATTTTGATGATGGTTGTTATAAAGTGTGTTTTGTATTTGCTTGAAGCATTGATCACCTTTCGTAGGTGTATACGATTGCTTAGAATGGATTAGTAATAAGTGAATTAGTATAATATTTAATGCATCAGCAAAACAATGAAATAATATTGAAATGATCTCTCAGAATAAAATTGGCATTATAGTCGCAACGTTTTACCGAATATTTATCATGCATTATGAAAACATTTAAATTATAATTTTTAGCAACTACGAAATCCATTGTTGTTATATCAAAACTGGAAAAATGCACAACAAGCAGAATATGCGAAAAAAGCGGCGGAAATTCATGCGCAATTATTGGCAACTTATAAAGGTTATGAGCAACAACATCAAGAATTTGCACTTCATTGTAGGACGCAAATTGCTCTACTTCAACAGCAGATTGAAGCCGAAAGAATGAAACAAAGTAAAGTTTGAACTATTGAATGTTAGCCAATTTAATCGAGTCCATAAATTTATAGTTATCTATGGTATAATTTATTCCAGGGATTTACTATCACATTAATTTGTGTTGGAAATCAAAGAATGTAAATTATTATGATATGAATCTTTTAAGTAATTGCACAGCAAATGACTATATAATGCTCAACTATTAGCATTACATTAGTCAATAAAAAATTATTAGCAGGCTAATTTTTTTGGTAATTTGTGAAACAAATGTTTTTAGATATGCCCTTACCTGCATCAGGACCTACAATGCCACCACCACCAGCAGCAGCTGAAGGGCCGTTACCGTTGAATCGTCGCGAACGCCGGTCGCGTTTTGACCAAAAGATTGCAGGACCACCACCAGCACAAAATAATTTTGCCAATATACCTCCAGAAAATGATTATGGCCGCTTTTTCACCGCTCCACCACCACATACGAATGTTCCGTCACCAAAAGGTAAATTTGGAAATGGTTAAAGATGTGTATGTCTAACACGATTTTGTTTTTACTACTCATAATTTTTGCTAATCCAAGTGCCTCTCTCATAGCGTCAGCATTGAGTGTTATCAGAATTTATAAGGAAATAATTCTAGAAACTTTGGCTAATCTAAGCAGATGTCTAAAAACAATCTAAAAGTTAAAACATATGTTGAGCAAAAAATCATTTCCTTATTTATAAAGCTATTGTGAAATCAAATAAGCTTAGAAAAAATTGCGATGTAACCTACAGCTTGTGGAACTACATATTACATTCAATAGCAAATTTTGATCTAGATATTTTCAAAAATCACAAATCTTTTAGATATATATCATGCTCGACCTGATGAAGATGATCCATCATATGTTATTTACGATGAAAATGAATTCAGCAGTGGTCTAAACAAAAATCGCAAAAATGAGAATGAAATTCAACCAACTCGTCCGCCGTTTCGTGGTGCATCACAAACTCCCATTTTTGGGCCACCACCGCAGAATGTAAATGTGATGGATTTCATATATCAGTCAAAATTCTGTGACCGCATGTTTCCTATCTTTATATTACTTTCCAGATTCTTGTCGAGTATTATAAAATTTCTTTCATTTTTTTTCATCAGTTACATCATATTTGTTCCTTGCAGATCTTTGATGACAGCGCTTTAATTCCAAGTGTTCCCTACTACGAGTTGCCCGCGGGCATGATGATGCCATTAATTGAAATGGAAGATGTACTGGTGACGTTTCCAGTTGTTCTCTTTGTTCATTACCTTTCGAATAAGCCTAATTTAAACTGCTAATATCAAAAAATAATCGCATGACATGAAGAATAGAAAAGTGAAATAATTTAATATCCTTATGAAAATTTTCAGAATACTGTATTTTACGTATTCTATTTAATTCATTGTTTTTTTTTTTAGTACAAACCTGTAATAGTATCAAAATTGCGTCTTCCGCCTCCAATTCCACCAACTGAGCGCTTGTTGCGTGCTATGGATGCATTCTATGCCCCACAAAGCTTGGAAAATCAAAGGGATACGTGAGTTTTACCAATATTAGCATTTTTACATAAAAATAAGATTCTAAAACGTAAAAAAAGGATTCTGACAGTTGTGATTCATTTGACATACATACAGCAGTGATACTCGAAAAGAGTGCGACCATCATGTACATACTCATTTAAAAAAGCAGGACTTTGATTTGCGCTGTTGTGAAAGTAAGATATAGCGGTTACTTCTGTTGTTTATGAATTTGAATCATTATTATTCATTTTTTTGGTTTCATTCAGAGATGGTTGGGAACGCCACGGTTTATTTGAATATTATGCGAAAAAAAATGAAATAAAGAAAAAAGTGGAGGAACAATTAAAAGCAGAGGGAAAGACATTAGAAGATGCAATTGAAAATGTCTATATCGAGGAAAATAATGAGGAAAAAGATGAAAGACGGGATTATAGACGCTCTTCTTCAAGGTCAGCATTGATATTTCATCCTCAGCTAATCAAAATCTATGCATAGTAATATACATTATATACTAGGTTTTTTGTATGCATTATACACTAAGTAAAATTCTTCTCGAAAACAGCAATATAAAAAAAATTAAAAATTAAGTTTATGTCACACATGGCGTGTTCTCATATTACGGCATGTTTTCATCGCCACGTCTGTAAATGTTTGATTCTGCAATGAATAGGAATTCGTTTAAAAATCATGATCTTTTCTGTCTTCTAAATCAATCAATAAATGGTTGAAATAGTATGCCATATCAGTTACCCTAATATTTGAAGGATGTTTTAGGAGCCATCATCGATCGAGTTCATCTGATTCATCATCTAGTCGGTCGAGCTCTTATTCAAGTGATAGATCAAGAAGGAGACGGTCAAAAAGTAGTCACTCGAGGTCGAGCGGGAGTTTCAGCTCTCGATCTAGATCTCGATCCTTGTCACGTTCAAATTCAAGGTAACTGTGACAACCATTGTTTTTCTTTCTCTTGAAGTTTACTTTTTTTTGAATTTCTAACTTGATCCAGGCATCATCGTAGCAGATCCCGATCAAATTCACCGAGGCGACGGAAGCATTCTGATTCAAGAAGTCCTTCTCCTATGCGACCATCATTTGGAAATCCGAAACAAATTGGTAGTCGCAGTCCTACTCCAAAATTGTAAGATTTTCAATCTTCATATTTTATCAAAATGTCAAAATATCCATGCTTACTGAGCACAAATCTTTCTGATTATTTTTAATTCTTAATTGTTATGATTTATTATCATTTATGGTTTCATTGATTCAGCATTCCGCCATCTGGACCTCCACCACGATTGAGTTCTGCCAATAAAGGTGCGCAGCTGTTAGCGAAAATGGGTTGGCACGGTGGTGGCCTAGGTGCCGATAGACAGGTAAATTGAATCTTAAAAACTTTTTTGTTTCATTTACAAGTATAATTTTTATTTATGTTGAAAAATCTTGTTTCCAGGGTATTGAGGAACCGATACCTGGTGGTGAAATTCGGGATGCTGCAGATCAGTTTCGTGGTGTTGGTTCAAAGCCAGATATGTACGAAGAATATCGAAAGCAAATGAGTGGATATCATAAAAATCGAAATAAGCGTTGTTTTGATTAGATTATGTACTGATTCATGCAGAAGAATAGTTGTATTTAATTTATATTAATTATATTTATGAAATTTTTTGAAATATCTCATAAGTTTTATAAATTTTGAAATTTGTTGTGCTTATTACTTTTTGTCACGCAAAAGGACTAATAGTCAACCGATTTTTAAGCCTCACTGTTAAAATTCTGAGCTGAGACATAAAAATTAGTGTGAGTTTTCCTAGCAGGTAGTAGAAGGAACTAGAGACAGTAGGATCATCTTCAGGAGAACCGCATGTCTTCCAGACGATAAGACATGTCAGAGAATAATTGGGCCCTATGGGATAGGATCTTTTAGCAGAAGTACTTAACTATTGTAGACTGTTTGGAGTTAGAAGTGCAGTGTAACTGAACAATAGTTCTGGAAATTCACTAAGTTCGTCAGAAAAGAACATACCGGCATAGAAAATCAAGAGATCTCAGGTATCCTATGATGGCGATTCGATTATCGATTCACAATTCAGTTCCTAAAAATATTCAAAATCAAATGATTATTTTATCTTGTTATTAATTATGCAAATGAAAAGAATGATGCTGTTTTGTATACTCGATTAGTTTTCCCTATTCTGATTTGAAGATATAAACATTGTCTTAGATTGATATGTAAATTTTTATAAACTTGAAATAGCGAAGACTAGATTTTTGCTTCAGATAAGTCAAAAATTACATATTGGTTTGGAAATTTCTGCTTACCTCATAATGCGTTTTTGCTAAATTGTTCTAGCTTCGTGTGTTTCATCCATTGTTTCCATAGAAAAGAAGAAATTCAGAACTAATATTATGAGAAACAACTATTTCAATTTCATAAATGATTATCAGCTATCAATCATTAAATTACTTGATTCATTTATCATATTAAAGATATAATTTCAACTCATTTCTTTTTTTTTTCTTCCATTTAATTCATTTTTTGATCAACGAATTTACTTAATTTTTCTTGACATTAAATTAACGTCGAGAAATTTTTATTTCAAGCAATATTTACTGCATTGGAATTGAACAGATAATCATCAATACATGCATTTTTATTTCATTATTCCATTTTTCTAACAATTAGCAACAATGCTTAATTTTCATAATGCACTTAATTAGTAATGAAGCTTTCAATGAGACATAATAGTACAATGGTACAATTTTGGTTTCAAATAAATGCAAAGAAAAATCTCACAAAGAAAAATCTTTTCGAATTTTTTAAGAATACTAACATGAAAAATATTTTCAAAAAAGTTTAAAAAAACAAAAATTTCAAACATATCATAACAGAATGATACGGTTAAAAAATATATATGAGGAAAAGAAATATTTATAAATTTATTGCAGCATTTAATCCAATTATTATTGTTAACATTAGCCATCAATCATTTACCGTAGCAAGCAAAGTCTCCACAGAGATTATTGTTTGTTATGGTCATAATTTTTTACTGTAATAAAGGAGCTGAATAATCTCACATGGTTTTTTATTATTTTAAGGATACTAACAAAAAGATATGTCTAAAAGTGGTTTAAAATTCATTAAAGAACTGATTTAAATATTTAAAAAATATTAATGGAAAGAATAGCATCATTTTGTCAAATAAAGTTTTTTTTTTTTTTTATAAAAAACTCTATTTAAATGTTAAAATGATGGATGTGGATGCATATTTATTAGCATTTGAAACAGGTCATACAAAATAATAAATCTTTTGCAAAAGAAGATATAACACGTATCTTTAATTCTTCACGCATTACTTACTTTTCTCAATTCTCCATACATCAATACCGTAAATATAGTAATCAGTGAAAGTACAGTATCACTTGCTTTATTCTTTGTTCATGCTTACTATAATAACACTTACTATAATATTATGATTTATGCTTATTTTTTGATTTATGCTATAATTTTTTGCTATGATTTATGCTATAATATTATGCTTACTGCAATACTGTTTTTGTGAATTTTGAATTGGATAATTTCAAATAATGACCTTTTCATTTTTTTTATTACTTGTTGTACCAATAACTGCCTTCCTTGCTAATTTCTTGCAAATATACGGTACCGGTCGATAATGGCAGCAGTCATTAAACCATTTCCCATTCTTTGAGCTAATTTTGACACATTTTCGACTTTTCATATAAACAGGTTCGGTTCCTAAAAAAATAAAGGAAAAATGAAATCTTCTAATATACTTATCACATAATAATTCAATTATGATTCAAAGTATGCTACTGGTATGAAAGTATATACCTATAGTAAAATATATAGTAGTATATTTTCACTACGTGACTTTATGTTTTGTCATGATATGTGAAAGATCGTTTTACATTGTAAACATAGAGAAAAGAATGTTTTGTGATATGATTTTGTTTCATCATTTGCATGCCATTAGATTTCAAGAAGTCCAAAAATTTCAATAGACAAGCTATTAATCATTATTTTATATTGGCAAAATAATTAAATTAATACATATCTGACATTCTAATAAATATCAAATGAAAGCAAAATTCTAATTCAACACTTGCATGTGAATTTCGTTACTTACACGTATGCATATTTCTGTACAAATACACATATGATTTATTGTTACGATATTGTTACGATCTTTTTGCCATATTTGAAAATTTTTGACTGTTCAATGCTTTGTATTTTTTTTTTCATTAAATTAATTTTTCGCCTTTTTTTGATAAATCTGACAAACATTTGAAATGATTTTTTTTTCTATTTCAAACAAATAAAATTAAATCATTTTGCCAGTTTCTAATGTTTACACAAATCAATGACTAATATACGGTTGGTGATTTTAATACGTTCCCGGATGGTAATGAATGTTGAGGCAACTGAAGCACGGAAATGGAAGCGGAATTCGCAAAAGTTTGTAGAGGATCAGGATTGAATTGCTGAGAAAATTTCACAAATTTAGCTATTTGTAGAATAAAATGAAATGAATACTTCAAGGGATTTGTAAATAATTGAAAAAATAAAATTGCAAATTAAACCATTTTGCCAATTTGTATAATCGAAGGGCGAGAAATCGACGTTTTCGTACTTTTTTGAATTACTAAATATTGCAGCACCGAGCCATATTGACTTACCAATTTTTGCAACCATTTCTAAAAAAATTAAACTATGAGATCCTGAAATATTCCGTCACAACTTCGTTGAATTGAGCACTAATTTTATTTTTGAAATGCTTAAAAAGTCAAATTTTGATCCTTGTAGCAGCTTTTTTATTTAAAAAAAAATAAAAAATGTGTTAAGTAATTGCAGATCACAGTACTTTTCCTTCTCCTAACAGTGATTTTGCTTACTTTACCAACTAATATTAGACACTAAAATAATTATTATAACTGAGAAATGGAAATACTGAATGATAATCAAATTTAATGAAATCAGACAGTTCTTGTATGATATGTGTTATTTCTATTTAAATTAGCAATCAAGTTTAGCTCCATTTCATTTCTTCCACAAAGCACTCTTTTGTCGTCCAAATTTTCATCTTATGCTTTGAAATTCCTCTAATTTCATCAAAATTTGATGTCATTTAAAGCTAGCAAAAATTTCAGCAATCTTCCAATAAGAGCAGAATTACGCATCACAAATGATTGATAATGATACATGACATCAGTTCATTGTATCAATTTCTGGTGAAATTATCAATTCTGTTTTTTTTTATTCGAATTTTACTCAATTAATATTTTAATTTCGTATTTGTTTAAAGATTCTGATAAAGTTCAAGTTTCATCTTGCTTCTATTAGCTCAGTTCCATCATCCTCTATTAAATACAATTCCTGTCATCAAAAAAATAGTTCAATTGCAGTATCATTTCATCAGATTCGCAATTGACGCAAGGATCAAAATTAAAAAAAAAAAATCACTTAGAGGAATTAATATGTCAAAATATATCATTTATTTGTTATTTTAATTATTCATGCTTATTTATTTTTGAAGATTTGAACATTTTAAACTTATCAAGACTTTTTTCTCGAACCTTTTACAATAACGACAAATGCAACTTTTTGAACCATTTATTTTTTCCATTGTTTTTTCTTTTTCCCCATCTTTGTTTACCGTCTTTTTCTTTCTTCTTTTTGCCATAAAATTAAAATTTTTTTAAATTTTAAATGAAATCTACCAAAGAGAAATCGATTTTCTATTTCACTGTGTATGCTCACAAGATTCGCCTCCTTTAACAGACATGCAAATTGAGCATTATTAAAAGTTGTCAGTGTTGTCACCAAAAGATAACAATATTTTGTATGATGCGAATACAGCCATCCTTCTTGACATAACCGTCCCGTTGCTCCTTAAAATTGAAATTTTTTTTGATATTTTTTGATAATGAATTTTTTTTAAATTTCTAATCATTTTTTTTATCAATCATCAACATATCGTTCTACTAAGGTGCTATGAAAAGAATGAATGATTAGGTTAAATGATAAGAATTAAACTGACCATCCTTTATTTTAAACATATTATAAAGTATCAGATGATCCTATTTATCCATTAATTGCACCATAAATAAGTAAGAGTAGTCTAGCAAACTGTTTATTAACCAATCTGGCCAAATAATATTTTGTCTAATGATTTACCTAAAAAATTTTCCAACATATATATTTCTGTATATCACTAATGCTATTGTATGATAAAAAATGACAACATCATCAAAGATATATTTCACACCTGAGCTTTTCTAACTGTTGAAAAAAGCTAATAAATTCCATTTAATTTCATATGAACTAAATAGGATTAAGTTTATCAAAGAATTGAATAATTTATTAATTGATAAATTACAAAAAAAAATGCAATAACCTTTAAAAAGTAGAACAAAAATGAAGGACTTTGTTAAGTTTATCATTTTGGTTAAAACTGATTATACAAAATGAAGCCAAATGATAGCAACTGCTTGTACACCACAAAATTTCAACTGATCTATCAAATTTTTCATTCTTTTTTCTTGTTTTTTTTTTTAAAAAAATGATTGAGTATTTGCACT